ATATAATGATTGTTCTTGAATTTCCTGCAGAGAAAAGCAGTTGGCCTTCTTTGAAGACTCTGAATTTGTTCAGACTTTGGTCTCTAACTTTTCCTTGCTCAGACTTCCGGCATGTTGTAATGACTCCTGTGATTCTCTTGATGTGTGAATATCTAATGCATTGTCCAATCACTTGCGGCCGAGATATAGCTATTGGATCCTTTTTGTGTTACATGTTGCTTTCTGTGAGTTTCTTCATCATAAAGTTTAAACTGTAGTGCGACATTTAATTGAAATCTATTTAGTTTACAAATGACCGTTTTTATTTCAACTTTACAACATTCTTAAAATGATATTTTGTGACCTAATATGGTGACTTTATCCTTTGTTAAATTAATTTTGGTGCAATAGTTAGCGGTTTTTAGCATTCTGTATCTTCTGCTGTTACTTATAATGAGCATGATTGCATTTTTAAGGTCTCTAAAGAGTCCCAGAAATTTTACCCCGAGGTTATAAGTTTTTTTCAAATGATTCTAATGTCCAGTATGGAGAGAAACTCCAAAATCGAGCAACCTTCTCAGGTATATATCTTATTATTTCTTGAGTGATTCGGAGTGATTCTTAAAGAGCTTTTAGTTTGTTGTTACTGTCGGTATTGATGTATTTCCCTTTCGAGTTTATTTTCCCATAAGATTCATAATGGTTTATCAAATATTGTCAGTGTAATCTGGAAATAAAAGTATCAAAGCCATGGCTCCGTATCCATGATGAAGGCTGCACTGTGCATCAGATTGATCTGTTCACTGTCTTGGAGTTACAGGATGACTCACCATATTTTATTTCTGAGAGTTTCAAGTAGGTAGCTCTGGAATTTTTTTCTAATTGTTTTAGTGAACATTGGCTTCAGTAGTATGTTGCTCTTTACCTTATGGTTTGGGTTTCTTATTTTCTATAACAGGGCAAGCATTCTGTCAATTGTGGTTAAAATTTTGATAGAATACGTCAATATGTATCAAGGATTGAGTTCCTTTCCAGAAATATTCTTGCCAATTGCAGCCATGCTTGATGAAGTTCTGGAGGGTGCCAAACTACCAAGAAATTTACAAGAAAATATGGAAAAAGTTGCTGATTTAATAAGAAAGCAAGCTTCTGAGCACCAATTATCACGGCAACCACTCCAAATGAGAAAACAGAGACCAGAGCCAATCAAGCTAATGAATCCAAAATTTGAGGAGAAGTATGCACCTTTCTTTAAACCAGTTGTTTTTCCATATTTATGACCGTTTTTTTTTTCCTGTTTTTCTAAAGAAGCAATGCGGATACTTATATTTCTTTTAACATTGTCCAGCAATTATATGGTTGTTTTGGAGCAATAGTTGAATTTTCCCCATTTTGACCTTGAAGCTTGTGGGTTTGAACCCAAAGCATGCAAGGTTAACCCTTTCTTAATTCCGGCAATGATGGAAACTTCTACATTTGGAACACTTATTTTATTTTATTTAATTTTTTTTCTTCGAGAAAAGTGTTAAAATAGTCCATTGACTCTTTACAGGTGATTATTTAAGTCTCAAAGTATATAAAAGTGTTAATTTTCAGACTCTTTTAATACAAAGCTGAAATTATCTCCAAGGGGGGTTTGTGGGGATAATTTCAGCCGCAATTTAAAAAATCTGGGACTAAATTAAATTGAAACTTTTTTAGACTGGGACTAAATTGGCCCCATGTAAATAGTGAAGAGGCAATTTTGACACTTTAACTGCATTTTTTTTTTGTGTATGTTTTGAGATAATTGCTTAAAGAGGCTTAATTGCCCAAAGTTTGTAGTCAAATTTTATGATTTAAGTTTTACTGTTACAGTTTTGCACTCGTGTTTGTGATTGCTTCTATATCTATGTATAACTTTTTGCTTGACTTATTTAGATAATTGTCTGTTCTGCAGCTTTGTTAAGGGTATAGATTATGATCCTGATCGTGAAAGGGCACAAAGGAAGAAATTAAAGAAACTATTGAAGAAAGAAGCAAAAGGAGCTGTGCGCGAACTACGCAAGGATAATCATTTCATATCTGAACTTAAAATGAGGGATAGAATTTTACAGGAAGAGGAAAGATCTGAAAAATATGGTAAAGCACTGGCTTTCTTACAAGAACAGGAACACGCCTTCAAATCAGGGCAACTGGGTAAAGGAAGAAAAAGAAGAAAATAAACCTTTCTCTGTTGTTCTCCGGTTCATTCACATCAGTTTTTTTTTTGGCAATCCGAAAGGTATATTTTATTTGGTTAATCATGTTAAAAATTTATGATGCATCAAATCCTTGATTCAAATGAAGTGTGTTTTTTAGAAAAAAAAGAAAAAAAATATCATCTGTTAAGAAGTAGTTTATTCAGAGTTGATCAATTTTTAAAATGATCATAATGGACGGAGGGTGCTTGCTTACCTTATTTAAGAAAGAAAAAAACTGTTTATTTGTTTGACATCTTGTTATAACTTCATCTGATAGTTTATCACGCTAGTTGCTAATACCATTTGTACACCGTTCTATTGATCCTGAACGTTTTATCTTCTAAACCCATGAAATCATATTTTTATGCACATCCCCCTATAAAAATATATGAACTTAACACTAGTTTTTAATGTAAATCTACCATGAATGAAATTCCTTGATCACTCTTATGGCTACTAACGCTATTTCATTGATCATTATACATATCTTTGATAATCTCAAAATGAAGGCTCCTTTGTTTCCACTTTTAAAAAAAATTCTCCCTCCCTTTCCACTCTCTCGCACAAAACCATCTAGTTCCCCTTTTTTGTTAACTCACATGTTTCTTCTTAATTCGGAGCCAACCAATTTAAAATAGAAGCAACTCCACCAGCATGGGCCGGCATTTCTTTTCTATTTGATACCTTGTTTTGATCCGCTTCTTTGTCAAAATATTCCCTTTTGATACAACAAATTATTATTTCCGTATTTGATAATAGAATAGTTTAACCTTATTATTGCCATATTATTCATTATTTTCTTCTTGCCTGGATCCCTTTCTTAGTTCCTTCTATTTTGTCTATCAAGGTTTGATGGACGAAGCTGTATGAAAGAGCAGCTGGAGCTAGTTCAGTTCCACATGGAAAAATGAATTCTGGCAGGTACAATGTTGAAGCAAGAGGTTGCCAGTTTGTTGATTGGTGCCTACTTTTTCCTCAATTTTTGTTCTATTTTTTGGCATGCATTAGGTGCAATTGTGTTTCTAACTTGTATGTTATTAATTTTATAGTATCTAGAGAAGTAAATAATTTTAGTTATTTATGGCTTATCTATAATTTTATGATGTATAAATAACCTGTAAGGTACGATTAATGGAAAGTCCAGATTTTCTACTGCTTCTAGTATCTTTTCTTCTTTATTTATTTTTATTTTTTTGGAATGCTTAATCTCTACAGAATACCTTTCTTACATAATGTGTAGCTTGGGCAGCCATACACTTCGGGTCTGTTTGGGGCAGTTGCAGCTTACACAAAAACTATTGCGTAGCAGTTGTGTCAGGAAGCGGCTGTGCAGAAAATGTATATTTGTTTTGAATTGTTGTGCTGCAGTTGTTTATGAAAAAATGATATTTCTGCCCCCATATTATTTTAAGGTTTATAAGACAGATGATTTGAGTTGCAAGCATATAAATATGAATATTTAAGTGATAGAGAAGTAAATACATAAGAATGTTGTGGTATGTAAATGCTCCAATAAAATATGCCATCCAACAATAGAAAAGGTGTGGACGTTGAAACAGATTTAAGCGTTAGACATGTAAATACATACGAATGGTGTGGTATGTATGTAAATGCCCCAATAAAATTTGCCATCCAACAAATGGAAAAGGTGTGGATGTTGGGACGAAGCTGCTAGGTTCGAAGGAACACAATTGCTGGGAGAAGTCTGTGGCTTCAGTTCACTTGGTATCAAGCAGGAGAAGGGTTGAAAGGAGTTCGTCGTTAGAGGAAGAGGATGATGGGATAAGGGACTCACAGGTCTGTGAGGGTTATGAGTATGGGCATTATTGCGATTGGGCTTGAAGAGAGGCAGGGAATGTGGGTGTAGAGGCAAGCTGGGTTGATGGGGCAGAAGCTGTGGGAAATGGGTGAGAGGAGTGCTGCGTGAGATGGGAGGGCACGCCAATCTTTAGTCGTGACCCTGTGGTCCGTGTTTTCTCACAAAACATGACTATACTGTAACAATCTTTATTGTGTTTTCGCATCACATTGCAGCTAAAAAGCTATTTCCCAAACACACCCTTTAAAAGCTCTTGTAAATGTGTTCATCTTTTTATTTTATTTATTTATTTATTGTTAAAGTAATAGTCTTTATTTTATTTATTTATTTATTGTTAAAGTAATAATAGAGGGTTATTTAAGTTTTGTTTGGGGCAACTACATGTTTCTTGCCAAAGGATAAAATTCTTTGTTCCGGGTTCAGACGTTGATTAACGCCCGCATGTTATTTATGTCTGGACTCTAATAGCATTACGACATGTATTCATTCACCTTGGCACATACTTACAACTCATAAAAAAGGTTATATTTGTTGGTGAGCGGAATTCGACACAAAATGAGCTTGAAATTTGCGAAAAAAGTGACTTAGTCAAATGTCTGTGCCCTAGCCTTCATTTATTCTTTATGCTCTAGGGTTTTTCGTTTCATGTTTTTCATCTAGGATTTTTCGATAATGCTCCCTAAGTTTTTAAAGTAGCCTAGGCCTTGTTTATGATCACTTTTTGTTTTCTATTTTGGTTTTTGTTTTGAGTGCTTTGTTTTTTATTTGTTGTGTTTTCTATTTTTAGAAAATAAATTTAGTGGTATTATGATTTATATATTTTTAAAACAAAAAATATAAAACCTATTTCATTGGGTATTTTATACTTTCTTTAAAGAAAAAAACTATACTTTGAAAAAGTTGAGTAGATTTATTATTAAAATTTTATAATTATTATGTTAATTAATTAAATTATTAATTGAAATGAAATGATTAATAAGTTTATAATTTTTTAATTTAACCAAGTTAAATGGTTAAAAAAATAAATTATTAATTAGTTAAATTTATAATTATTAAGTTAATTAAATTAATTATATATATAAATTAAATTCAAGAATTAATAAGCTTATAATTATTGAGTTAATTAATCAATATATTATTTAAAATTGAGTTAATTAATCAATATATTAATTAAAATATTTACTAATTAAATTTTATAATTATTAAGTTAATTAATTATTTATAATTATTAAACGAAATTAAATTATTAATAAGTTTATTGTTATTAAGTTGATTAATTAAATTATTATCTGAAATCATTATTTAATTAAATTTTATATTTGATAAGTTAATTAGTTAAAATTTTTTAATTATTACTTTAATTAATTAAATTTAATATTTTATTAAGTTAATTAATTAATTTATTTATATTTGTTGATTTAATTAATTAAATGATTAATTTTTTAGTTGAATTATTATGGGTTTAATTGATTAATTATTAAGTTAATTAAGTGGATTTATTATTATAACTTTATAATTATTAAGTTAATTAATTAAATTATTAATTGAAGTTAAATATTTAATATGTAAATTTATCAAGTTAATTAATTAAATTATTAGTTGAAATTATTAAGGGTCTATCGTGTTTTGGCTCTTTTCGAAGTACAGAAAAAACGTTTCAAATGTTGTGTTTTGAAAACAATCCACTTGTGTTTAAAAGTAAATTTAAAAATCAAATGAAAAGAAGACAAACAAACATTATTTTTCTGTTTATTTTCTATTTTTTGTTCAAAATTCAAAATTAAAAAAACTAAAAACAACAATTGATCCCAAAGTGGTCCGTAGGGTTTTCAAATGAGATTCGTGAAGCTTGACATCCAACACAACAATCGTTAAGATAATTTGGACATTTATATTAAAGGGATTTTAAAGGAGCTCTTAGTTTTATCCTAAACTAATGGAGTTGTTTATTTCATAATATTTTGGGTTTTCCAGCGAAGCAAACTAAGCAAACCATAAAGAGGAAATGAAGGAAAAAAGCAAAACAACAAAAAGAATGACAAGTTAAACGTAAATAAGAAAAAGGGTTTATAGATGGATGTATTTATTGATTACTACTTAATATATTACTATATTATTCATTTCTTTTTGGCATAAGAAAATGAGTGTAGAGATGAGCACATTGCATTATTACTTATGTTTAAACCATATGGAATGATGTTTTATTGTTAGAAGTTTCTCATTTTTTCAATGTGGTTCTTCATATCTCTTGTTTGAACTATGTGCAATCATGATTTATGCATGGAAAATAATACATTTGATTTGATAAGTTTTATTTGTTCAATGCATTCGAGAAAAGAATATATCCATCTAGTATTATCATCCTCACCACCATGTATACCACAAGTTTTCCAAAATATGATAACACTTTCAAGAAAGTAATTTTCAAATTGAAAAAATGAATACTATCATAATCTATTGTTTCTTACATCATAGGAGTAAAAGACAAGGTTTATTTGTGAAAAATACAATATTTCATTCTATACCACCATCTAGATCATTTTTCTAAAACATGATAACTTTTTTAACAATAATTTTTAAACAAAGATGTACAACATCATAATATATTGTTTCTCATATCAGTGAAGCAGCAGATATGATTTATTTCTAAGAAAAAAAAAATATATATATATATATATATATATATATATATATTCATTTATACCATCATTTATATCACCATTTTATAAAAAAACATGATAACACTTTTATAACAATAATTTTTAAATAAAAAAAAAATCTAGAATATCATAATATATTGTTTCTCATATCAAAGGAACATAATACATGATCCAATTGTGAGAAAAATATAATGTATACATTTGTACTACCATTCATACCACCATTTTCTAAAACATGATAACTCTTTTAGAATATCATTTTCATCAAAAGTAATTATTTCTCACATCAAAGGAGCAAAATATATGATTAAACATAAGAAAAATACAGTATATTCATTTGTTTTTTCATCTATGCCACAAACTATATCATCATTTTTTATAAAACATAATAACACTTTTGAAATAGTAATTTTCAATTAACGTAGGTGCATAACATCATAATCAATTGTTTCTCACGTTGGAGGAGCATAAGATGTAGTTAAAGCGTGAAAAAAATGCAATATATTCATTTGTATCATCTATACCATCATTTTTCTAAAACATGATAAAAATCTTAGAACAACAAATTTCAAATAAAAAAAGTGCATAACAACATAATCTATTGTTTCTCACATTAGAGAAGCAGGTGATTTCATTCATTTGTGAGAAAAAAGATATTATATACATATGTACCTGTCGGCGATATTTTTGGTTGGAGGAGATGCCCGTAAGAAGCTGTCGGTCACCAGAATCGAAATCCCGTCGCGCGCTTCGGAAGGACGTTTTAATTTACATATATATATATATTTAGTTTTAGAAAAATATGAAATCAAATTGATCCCATATTTTTCATAGTTTAAATGAAAGCGCAGTGTACCTCAAATCTTGTATCTATCACGAAGGACAAACACAAGATTTGAGGATGAGGTTCGATCAAATAAATTAAGGAATATATAACATCCGTTTAGTCTGCGAAACCTTTATATTTGCCGACAAGTTCCCCTATTTAATATAAATAATTAAATAGGGTTTATATTAAGATGGATTCAAACATGCTTCCTATAAAGGCAAGCCTCTATAGTTAATTACATCTTAAATGACCAAAGTCACCTAAGAAGACTCTCGATAAAAATCAGGAAATATTATCTTCAAGGAATTTCAAAGAGTAGGACTCTTCAACGAGATTGGACGTAGAGGTGTGAATGGGGATTTGTTTAAATTTGGAACATTTTATTGTAGAATACAAAGAAGGAAGAACTAGGGGACGTCATGGATCCAGAGGAGAACCCCGGTGACTTCCCAAGCTATCCTAATGTTTGGCTTTAGTTTTAAGAAGAAAAAATTAAGTGTTTCATCCTGCCAATTTTATTAGTTAGGGCTTACATTCGTGTGAAACGATCACACAAATAGCCTGAAAGATGTGAGGGTTTAGGTCGTGATGAACGACAACCTCGGAATCTTAAGACGAGTTAGGGCTTATATTGTATAGTAGGGTTGTACAAAAGCATAAAGATAAGGTGAGGATTTACGTTGCATAAGCAATCAACCTCGAAGTCCTATGAATTTGTTGTTTAAGTCTAAAGAAGGAAGATTGGTTTAGCTGGGGAAGA